TTTTTTGTATAAAGAAAGTTTCTATCACTCCTCTCTCTGTTAACAGTGCTTGGTGTACGCGTGTATTGTGTCTACACAAATTTAACTCACAAGTTAGCAAACATGAATACAAAACAGACGTCCTTAGAAAGTTTCCTTGGAAAAAAGAAAAGGCTCAGTGAAGAGCCTTCAACATCAAAGAAACATGCAACTTTTAACAGATAATACCATGAGTCAGTCCTACTTGAAGTATGGTTTTGTCGGGACAGGCGATTCACACAAACCAAAACCGCTCTGCATAGTTTGCGGCGATCAACTCTCTAATGACGCAATGAAACCTTCAAAACTGCTTCGCCACTTGAACGCCAAGCACCCTGGATTAAAAGACAAGAACCTGGAGTATTTTGAAAGAAGAAAACGGGAACTCGACGGACAGAAAAAATTTATGATGGCCACCACATCAATAAAGGAGAGCGCACTAAGAGCATCATGTTTGGTGGCTAACCGCATTGCTAAAGCTAAAAAGCCATTCAATATGGGTGAAGAATTAATCTTGCCCGCCACTAAAGACATTTGCCGTGAAATACTAGGAGAAGCTGCTGTGGAAAAGATAGCACATGTGCCTTTGTCGGCTAGCAATGTGACTAGGCGCATTGGGGAAATAGCCGAAGACATTGAAAAGCAATTGTTGTAGAGGATTAATGCATCACCGTGGTACGCACTCCAGGTTGACGAATCTACAGATATTAACAGCAAGGCAATACTACTTGTTTATGTGCGATATCTATATCAGGAGGATGTGCATGAGTATTTGTTATGTGCACTATCTTTGCCAACCAACACCACAGGAGCAGAACTGTTCAAGTCACTGGATGGTTATATATCAAGACAACTAAAATGGTCCTTTTGTATAGGTATATGCACAGACGGAGCTGCTACTATGACCGGACGTCTATCTGGTTTAACTGCTCGGATTAAGGAAGTTGCACCTGAGAGTGAAGCTACACATTGTCTCATTCACAGGGAAGTGCTAGCAAGCCGAAAAATGTCACCAGAATTTAACAGCGTATTGATTGATGTCGTTAAAGTTATTAACTACATCAAAGTACACGCCCTTAACTCGTGCCTGTTAGAGCAGCTTTGTGAGGAGATGGACGCAGAGTACAGATGCCTTCTGCTCTATACAGAAATAAGATGGTTATCTAGAGGAAAATCGCTACTGAGAGTATTTGAATTGCGAGAGCCATTGCAAAGATTTCTCTTAGAAAAGAAGTCACCGCTGGCAGCACATTTCAGTGACAAGGTATGGGTCACCAAAATGGCTTACCTGTGTGACATATTCAACCTGCTGAATGAACTCAATCTGTGCCTTCAGGGGAAAATGACAACTGTTTTCAAGTTGGCTGACAAAGTAGCTGCCTTTAAAGTCAAATTGGAGTTATGGGGACGACGCGTGAACAGAGGCATTTTCGACATGTTTCAGACATTAGAGGGTGTTTTAGGAGAGACAGAGCCTGAAGATTCATTCTCCCAGTTGGTTCACGATCTGTTGTCGTTGTCTGTGTGTCTTTGCTTTTAAAAGAGTTCGAGCGCTACTTCCCAACCACAAAAGACCCACGAACTGGTAAGGAATGGATCCGCGACCCATTTGCCAACAAATCGGGTGAATCTAGCTTGTCAATGCAAGAAGATCAACTGTTGGAGATTGCAAATGACGGCGGCCTTAAGACTACGTTCGAAACAACAACTCTGCCGGTGTTCTGGATTAAAGTCCTGGCAGAATACCCCGAGATTGCCACCAAAGCACTTAAATCCCTATTGCCATTTCCGACAACCTATCTGTGTGAAGCGGGATTTTCTGCAGTAACAGCAACTAAAACAAAGCAACGGAATAAACTGGAGCTAAGCAACACACTTCGGGTGTCATTGTCTCCGATTACCCCCAGATGGACCCGTCTTATTGCAAAGAAACAAGCTCAGGGTTCTCATTGATGTAATGTTCAAGTAAGTTAAAATGTTAAATCACTTTATTTTTTGGTGTAACTGTATTTTATTTTAAAGGTATGTTTAAATACAATTAAATTAAAATTATAAAATCAAAATAATCTAAAATATAAACAATCAATGCCCCCCCCCCTCAGTGGGCCGTGGTAAAATTATCAAACGTTGACAGGTTGGGGAACACTGTTCTAGAGCATTTCTATTCTTCTTCTATTTCTCTTTCTTTTAATACAGTAAGTATGAATTGAGAGTAATTTTAACAGCAACATGTACATCAGTGAAGTTCTGGAATCCAAACTTATTACTTGATTTGTAGGCAGTCCTATCCTTTAGGAGGATAATGGCTGCTTATATGTAGCAAGGACTTTCCAGCAGAGAAATACAGCTTTTTCCTTGGACTGGTTGTTTGCCAAATATGGCACCTATTGAACATAAGTAGGATTTCATTGGTCCACATCATACTCATGATTCTTGTCCTACAGCTTTTACAGATAAACATTAGGTACCATCAAAAAACATAGAACGTTCTTCTTCCAAGCAGAAATTCAAAATCTGTTTGACTCTAAGCCATGTTGTGTAACTGCACTCACTGTAGTGCATGGTTGCTACACTACATCAAATACTGATTTTGGACTCTAAAAAAGCATTTTCATTTGCTTTGATTTTTAATTGTATAAAGACAAGTTACTTGAGCATAAAATTTCATTTAATTTTGACAATTCCATCAAATTGTTGCAATTTTTACAAAGTAATAATATAATGTTAAGTGTGTCCTAATCTCATAATGAACTTTGAAAGCTTTTTTTTATTTATTTATTTAATTTTTTCCTAACAATGTGTCTCAAAGTGTTTAAAAATGCCGTATGTAACTTGGAAACCTTCATATTTTAAATATTTTACTTAATGATTGCATTGCTTTCAGAAAATTGTTGAAAAAAAGCACTTAAATTTTAATTTATAAATACTGTTGGAAAGAAAAAATAAGAAATTTTTTAAAAAAAAACTAAATAAATAAAGCTAACAGAAATTAATGCTGAACACAAATTAATAACTGGATATGTTTATTCAAAATAAACAAAATATTAAATGAATATATTTTTAGCTACATGGAAAATAAAGATAACAGAAATTAATGTAGAAGACAAATTAAAGAATGAATATGTACATTCAATTGAAGCAATAAAAAATCAATGGAAATAAAAATATGACCACCGAAACCGACGTCTTCAGGGGGTACCGGCCTCGGTAGCCATAGAACAAAACATTTTCTATTGAGAGAGAGGACAAATGCCAAATTAACTCTCTCAGTATCCCGAAGGTTTTGTATATGTCCAGGAAAAAATACATGAAATACATAAAACCATTCAGAAAAGAAATTCAAACAAAAACTTGAGAAAATAAAAACTCACATTAAACCGGTCAAACAGCGATTTCACAAGCAAACTAAATGCAAAGGAAACACTTAAAACAAAAGAAAACAACCCCCTCTATTAAAATGCGCAGATTGAAAAAAAAAGAAGTAACAAATTAGTATAATGCTTAACTGGGGCTGCTTAGTTAAGACTTGAATTGCACCCTGTTAAAAGAATTAAAAATCTAGTATTCTTCAGTCATTTTCTTAATCAAAAAATTAACATCACAAAAGTTAAAAAGAAAATCATTATTACTCAAATTATTCACAGCCTCCTTAAAACTTTCAATGTTATTCCAAATATTTTTAATCCTAACCAATTGTGAAAAAACTAAATTTTTGAAAATTTTATTACACAGATTAGTATTAAAGTTGCAGAAAAAAATAACTTTAAATTTAAAAGCTTTTCTTTTATCAAAAACACCAATTTTAATTATTTTATCAACAATATCAATTTTAAAATCTAAATATTCAACATTTCAGCAATTCTCATTAGTTTTCTTCAAAACCAAATCTTTAGGATAAATACTATAAATAAAATTAAAATTATTACAATTAAACAAAATCAAACCATCAATATATCTAAGAGCATTAAATTCATTATACTCCAGAAATTAATAGAAATTTAAATTTAAAGTTATTTTTTTCTGCAACTTTAATACTAATCTGTGTAATAAAATTTTCAAAAATTTAGTTTTTTCACAATTGGTTAGGATAAAAAATATTTGCAATAACATTGAAAGTTTTAAGGAGGCAGTGAATAATTTTTTGAAGAATTTGAGTAATAATGATTTTCCTTTTAACTTTTGTAATGTTAATTTTTTGATTAAGAAAATGATTGAAGAATACTAGATTTTTATTTCTTTTAACAGAGCGCAATTCAAGTCTTAACTAAGCAGCCCCAGCAAAGCATTATATTAATTTGTTACATAATCTTCTTTTTTTTTCAATCTGCGCATTTTAATAGAAGGGGTTGTTTTCTTTTGTTTTATGTGTTTCCTTTGCATTTAGTTTGCTTGTTAAATCGCTGTTCAATCGGCTTAATGTGAGTTTTTATTTTCTCAAGTTTTTGTTTGAATTTCTTTTCTGAATGGTTTCATGTATTTTTTCCAGGACATATACAAAACCTTCGAGGTACTGAGAGAGTCAATTTGGCATTTGTCCTCTCTCTCAATAGAAAAGGTTTTGTTTTATGGCCACCGAGGCCGATACCTCCTGAAGACGTCGGCTTTGGTGGTCATATTTTTATTTTATTTCTATTGATTGTTTATTGCTTCAATTATTCTTTCTTTTGAAAATTCTGCTGCTTTTAAGCGTGTTTCTTTCAAAAATAGCTTTGTCAATTTTGAATTTAATATTTTGTATTCTTTTACTTATGTATATTCAAAAAAAAAAATAAAAATTAATGGAATATATTTTTAACAACATCAAAAGCTATAAATATCAATTTCTTAAAAACTTTGATTTTTCTGAAAAACACATCAAACAATTTGTGAATAGTTTTGTATGCTTGTTAATTTCTAAAATACCACACAAAAAATTTTTTTTCAAAAAATAACCATTTTTTATTTATTCAGGAATTTATTAATTAAAAAAGAAAAACAAAAACTTAAAATGAATTATTTTTATGATAAAGATTAAAAATAATGATTAAAAAATCTTTTAAGCACATCAGAAAGTTGATTTAATTTGGTAGTTAATATTGCACTAGTTACATGAATAGGCTACTAGTGATAGCCTGGGGTGTCTTACTTTCGTTATAGTATATATATACTGTATTTTGTAACAAGCAGCCTTAGAGAGCATCCTCATTGCATGTGGTAGCCACAACTATGATTCCTGCTTAGAGAAAAAGATAACCTGATTAGCGAGTTTTTCACAAAGAAATATATTATAACAATCAGGCACTCATATTTCCTTGACAGCAATCGAAGGTGCCTAAACTGCATTCAGTGAGAATGGCTCTTTAATATACATACAGAGTTGATAAAAAAAATGGCAGAATTACAAAACTATATCATGCAAATTACTTCACACATATGAAGATAAATTTAGTTCTAAATTATTAAGAAAAGTACATAGTTTAATTCCCATTTCAATATCCTTTGTTAAGTTCAAAATTAGTGGCTTTACATCAAGATGATAATTAACACATAGAAACACTGTACTTTCCACTTACGTGACTGATATAAAACTAAAAAATTTACATACAAATAATTACTAAATTTAAGGTAATTAATAAATATTTAAGTAGCTACTGAAAATTTACTTAATTTTTATTGGAACAAATAAGAAAATTTGTACTTTCAATTTTTAAATAATGCGCTTATTATATCAGAACATGAGCACTTTTAACAGTTACTGCTATGATTTGCTTTTTAAGGTTGTTGGATCAGTAATTATTTCACTATATGTTTCTAATGAATGGAGGGGGGGGGAAGACTTCTTCACTACATTCCGGTACAAGAATTATTTTTATACAGGTAGGTAGTGTTCCAGCCAGTTTATCATTTAAATTTTTACTACTATTTCATGTTGAGTTTTTCCCTTGTTGCACTTCTCTACATTGCTATACTAAATCCGAATTGTTTAGTTTCTTTTTTCATGAGTCTTAGTCCTCTTACTATCTTGGAAGTTAATTTTGGGATGGCCTTTCTCTGAAAAATAGTCATTACTCATCCCCAAATTTTTCAGTAGTGGATTAACCAATAAAAAAGCTGAAGATGCCTTTGCAGGGTTTTTGGAGAAGAGAAAGAGCGAAAGGAAGTAGAGAAGAAGTAGGCTTACAAAGAAAGATAAGATGTAACTAATATTCCCTTGCTTATAACTTTCTTTTCTTTGATTACTCAATACAGTTCAGCTCTAAACTTTATATATATNTTTTTATATATAAATTAAAGTCTGTGATCACAATAAACTAATTTTTGAATTACTTATAAAATGTACTTGCCTTGATTTATAATGTTACTTTAGCCACATGGACAAATTTATTTAACAAATATGTTTATAATACATAAAGATTTCTTATCGCTAAATTTATGTAAATAAATAATTTTATTTACAAACTCTATGTTTATTTTGTATATGTTACTAGTGATCTGGGATAGGCTTTAGTTTATTAGCAATCAATTCTTGGACGTCAAGAGAATTATTGCTATAAGTTATTAAGTTTGATGAAAAAATAAATCATGTGGCAAGACTAAGCATGATTATATACAATAAATGCTGGAGTTAATTTTAAAGTGTGATGGAAAGCAGTGTGAAAAATCCATTAGAACTAAGTGTCTTGTTTAATTGTTCTATTACACTGCTTTTTTTATGGATTACAGCTAACTCTATGCTGCTTCTGAACGCCAAGTGTATGCAATGTGTAGAAGCTTTAGATAAGAAATTAACAATTTTATATCTTAATAAGATTTTGAATTTCTTTTAAAATTTTGTCAACACAAAGGGGAAGAGAGAAAGAATTTTTAAAATAAAAATTACTATTGTAGTTTTTAAACACTTTAAACCTGAGTGAGAAGGAAAGAAGGAAATGGTGAGAGCAGAACTTTGTTTGCAAATTACAATAAAATTTTAATTTCATTAGAAAATATTGTAAAAAATAGAAGAAAAAACAAGATTTCAAAAGAAGCAGAAGTAACTTTTAATAACATTTTAAATGGAGTGTACTTTTTGACACCGGGTCCTCAAATAAGCTTATGAAGTTAATTACTCTTTGAAAAGACCATCTCTGGATTTGCTTACTAGTTTATTAACTAGTAAGCACTGATGGTATTCTTAGAAACCAACACTGTTAATGCAAAACATAACTTAAAGCATGAAGAAAACGATTTAGTTTGAATTTTATTGCTTGATGAAACTTAAAGATTTGTACCTGCATTATTGAAAAAGTAATTTACTTTGTTCAACATAATACAAAAAATAAGGTCATTGTTGCATTGAAAAAGCATTCATTTGACTTTTTCTTATAAGATTTAGCAACGAAAAGAATTATGCTTTGAATAATCCACATCCTCAAACTATGGGTCATGTTTTAAAATTTATTTAATATTAACACATTAATTAATTTATTTTTGATGCAATATATTTGTTATTTCAAATATATTTGTCATTCTAAAATATTAGTAATAACTGCTTTCTTAGAAAAATATAATGAAAATTAATTAATTTGCAATCAACAGATAATTAACAAAAAAAACATTCTCACATGTAAAAGAATCTTTTATGCATTATTGCTATTTCATTATTTATATTTGTAAAAACTACGAAAAATAATTGTATCCTATGTAATATATAGTAAAATAAATCTATATAACTGAATTCTAAGTAAAAGTATCTACCATAAAAAGACAGATGGTTGCTAATATTTAAAAGTATTTTACAAAATTCTCAAAAAAATATTTGCAATAAATTATTCTCAAAACATATAAATTTTGCCAAATTTGAAATGTTTCATTCTATTGTGTTCAAGTGAGGTTTAAGTTACAAGTGATTTAATCAGTAATAATTTTTTAACTATACATGTATACCAATAATGAATAATTATCTACTCTTTCATATCAAAACTGTTTAAAGGAAGATCCCTTTACAAATTTTTACATTCAAATTACATATTTTATATGTATGCAATAAAAATCTCTTGACATTAATTGAAATAGTTAATACCTTTCAAAAAAATAAGTGCACCAAAGAAAGAAACAATTCAATAAATATATATTAATTTTCTGTACTTAAATTTCACATTCTAAAATGCGCACAGCAAAAATACAGAGTATAAATAAAAAATATCTGTATTTGGTTAACAAGAAAATATAAGAAGCAAAATATCTGGAAAAACATTAATAAATTTCCACATTAAATATTATTGCATGAGTTTGAATTAAACAATGATTAAATATGAAAAAACAATGCTCCTTAGTATGATTTTCAATTACAGCAATACTTGGATTACACCAACAGATGCATAAAGTCTCAATTGTAATTTGATGCACGCAATGTTATTTTAAAGCCCATTAAATCCTCAGAATGAAGCCATTTATTCTGATATAGTAACCAAATTGTATTCATTTGATTCAGCAAATGTTTCAAAGAAATTATTTTAACTGTAATTTTTTTTATTATAACAAAGAATTTATTTTATTATAACATATACAATCTGCGTAATTTTTTTTTACAATTTATCAATTATATTTTTCTCATTTAAAACTTTCAATTATTCTTTTTGTGAAATGTTAATCCTCTTGAGTATTTTTTTTTATAGATAAAATAATTTATTTTGCAGGTATCTTGACATCAGTTAGTGATCACCTCAAACCAGCGTAGTATTTTTAATGCATAAAATGTTTAAGGGAACGTTTTGTACCCATATATTATTATAGAAAAAACAAGTTGTGTCATCATCAGTTATGTTAGTACCAAATTCCTATTTAAAAAAAAAAAACATTGCTTCTTTAAACTTAATCAATTTTCCATTTAGTTTTAAATTTGATTTTTTAAAATTAGTTAATTTTCTATTTAGCTTTAAGTTTATATTTATGTTATTTTATACACTCACGATATTTTTCCACAGAGAATCCATTTTTGCAGAGATAACAGGGGTTGTTATATTGGGTTTTCAAAACTATAGTTCAAAATTTGACACAGAAATGTTAAACATGAAAAATACATTTTTCTGAATTAAGTTTGAAAAATCACAATATAACAAAATAAATAATCTAGTTAAAAAAGTTGTTTTGCAGCAGACATTCAAAACATGATTTAAAACAATTTATGGTTGTTTGTTCTTCAAAAATGAAATATCATAAAGAATACACATGATATAATATATATATATATATATATTTTACTGAACAAAATAACTGACTCAAGACATGTATATCCTTAAACTCATGAGGTCTGAAGAACATTTTCAAAACAATGTTCAACAATGTTTTTTTACTTCAACGTTAAATTTGATAAGCATATATTGAACTTGCATAAACACTATACTTTTATTAACATCAATATCCAACACCTTTTTCCCCTTCATATGCTCTATGAGTAAAATGAGCTGGAAAAAAAACTTTAATTAAACATAAATCTGAAAGAATAAGCAGTAAAAAAAAGCTGAAGACATCAAGCAACAGCAAACATTTTTAATAAAGAAACTCATTTGAGAAATAAATCATCACTTTAAATGAATAGATTCAATAGACAATTTAAATATATTAATTAAAATTGTTAACAATATTAAGTAGAATCTTATTATTAATTAAGACTTTTTCATAGTGGTGAAGCATGATATCATTACAAAATAAAATGTCCTTAACCTTATGCTCATTGGCACCATGCAGAGTAAATTTGTAACATTAAGTATATAAAAAATTCTGAAATAAAAACTGTTTCTATATTGTTGTCATTTTCACTGAAACTATGATCAATGAATCTATGATTCAGAACTATATTAATACAACTGAGAACATCTCTGGTTTGAGTGAAAGCCAGTACTTAATTAAATTAATGCAAGCTTGTCTGCTAGATGGTATACTAAGTCAGGTGATCAAATTTTGAATTATGTCATTGTCATTCTATGAATGCAATTTAAAGTCCTTTTTAAAAAATGAATAACATTTGAAGCATTTTCTGGTAGTTTCCCCATTGAGGGTGTTGGGGATTGGGCATAGTAGAAGTTCATGTGGCAATCAGTATCAGAAAAAGCTATGCATTTCTGCGTGCCCCAGTGTTAAATGTATGAAGATTTAGGGCGGGAATTGATAGCAAAATTTTTATTTATGTAATTAAACGTCATCAGAAATTGAAATTTTTAAACATTTTGATAAGTCCGCTATCTAATACCATATTATCTACAGGGAACTTTTTTTAATGACTCTACTTCCCAGAACAATTGCCTATTAACTCTAAAAAATAATCTTTCAATGACTCTCGGTGAATATTAATGACTTAATGACTCTTTGTGAAAGTAAAGATCATCTTAGTTTAAAATTAATAGGATATAGCTATTTTAAGCTATAATTTAATATTAAAAAGACTTGTGTAAAGAATTATATATATATATATATATATATATATATATATGTGTGTGATNGCAGTTTAATTATGGAGGGAGCAACATCTATTGGCCTATGTTGGTTTTATTCATACAGAGGTTGTTTCGTAATATATATATACAGTGGAGTCCCGATAATCCGAGCCCCGGTTATCCGAGTTTCCGCTTTAACCAAGCTATCAAATATTTTAAGGATTTTTTTGTTCTAGTTTATTTTTAAAAATACCACCGAAAAATAAATCTGAATTTTATCTTCCAAACACTCGGGAAAACAAAATTTAACAACTTGATCCCATGAAATGATCGTTAATATCATCAATAATGAAAATGAACCTAGCGAAGACGATGAAGACAGTGACGATGCACTTAAAGCTGTCGAAAATGCTACTGAATATAGAACAACAAAAAGAGGCGACACCAGCCTTCCTGTTATCCCTAAAAAATGGCGAAACATTGCTGCAAAAAAGCACCAAAGTTATGTAAAACAAAACACGATTAAGGACTTTTTTTAAGTAAAATCTCTTTAATTCTCGCAAAGTATGCTTTTTAAGTTTTTAATAATAATAAGAATTGTATGTGGTATACTCGTATAAATTTTATATTTCTTAAATATATTACATTTATACCAACTCTTTTTCTTTCTTTTTTTATACTCTTCGTTTTAACCGAGTTTTTCAGTTATCCGAGTTAGTCGCGGTCCACATTAACTCGGATAATCGGGACTCTACTGTATATATAAATGTTACGGCCAAAGCCCGAATTGAAATTAGCAGGCCAATGTTCGATCTTTTCCTGATTTCGGGAATTGGCCATCCAGATAGCGAAGTGGCATGGCAGGATCAGCCAAAGTTGGAAGAAAAAATCATTGGCACGAATTATTGGCTCTGTATAACCATAACTTCATTTCTTAAAAATTACTACCTGTGGTACCCGCAGCTAACTATGGTGGGATGTGGCCATGTGAGACAAAGTAAAAAATTACATTTTTTAAATTTTAATTTAAAAACTTGTATACTTTTTTATATTTTTAAATTAGAAGATTTATATTTTTAAATTAAAAAAGAAAACAAAAGGGGCAATATTAGCAAATGAACTTTTTAATACAACAAATATTAAAAAATTGTGGTCCCGCCGTACCACCCGGTATCTGAAAAAGCATACCACTACAATTTTTTTTCTGTAAAGTAAAAGTCATTAGAAATACAAAAGATAGCAAAAAAGGAGTAGCAGCAGACAAATGTCGCCATGTGGCACATTCCTGCCGGAATTGCAGGTGCGCTACCTACCGGGCATTCTTGAATGAGCACATCGCGTTTTGGCCGGAACATCGTGGCTACTTCGCGAAATGGGCGGTCAAAGTAGAATATTTACTGATCGTTTCAATTACATCGCACTTTGGCAGAGAGGTATAACCGCACTTCGGGCTTTGGCCGTAACATATATATATAGAGAGAGAGATTGGGTGTTTCAAAATGCCAAAGCAGGCACACATGAAGAATAAAAATAATTGATAACAATGGATCATTTACAGAATTACATGAGATCACAAATGCTACCAGGAGCAGCTAGACAGGGTTGCATATTAAACATTACTATATACATGTTGAAGAAGGTATGCCACTCCATGCAGTATTGCATGTCTCCAGATGTCTGTCAATAACTTGGATGTTCTCTTACAATAATATTGGTTCAAAAAATTTTAATGAGAAATAAAGTATAACTAAAATGGCGTATAGCATATAAATTACTTTGATTTAAAATACAGCTTTGATTATACTGTGATAAAATTTTCTTGTGGGTAAGCAAAATTGCTTAAAATGCCTTTTTATGCGAATAAAAGTAATTTTAAGCTAATGAAAATGTTACGAAAATGCTTACGTCTATAATATTCAGTACTAAATCTCACTCCTGGCACAAGCTCATAAACTTTTTTCATAATATTTTGAGGAACACTTCTGGTGCCATCACTGTTCCATATTTGTATGACATCATCTTTTTCTCGAACAGTCACACTAACTCCACAAACATCATCACCTACAAATTAATCATAATCACTGAAAGTGAAATTAATTAACATGTAATTTAAACATTATTTTGAAATATCCTCAACAATGAATTTCTTAGTGTGGTTCAAAAATTATATGTGTAAAAGCTGAAAGCTATGGCAAATTAATGTACATCTAGAAAGGTTTATTATCTACCTCATTTTTTAATATGCTTCATATTCTATAAAAATAATTCTTATATATGATTAATACAAGTAAATAATGCTTGTGAACTTTAAAATTAAAACAGATACTATGAAATAATTTTAAAAAAACTGCTCTTAATTAATGAAGGTATAAGCAAAATAATTCATTTTTATGAGTGTATAATAAATAAGAATTTTTTATTCATAAATAAACATTCACTACTATTAATACACATGTAAATAATAGCAGGGGTGCCATCCTCTCTGCAGAAGATCAAAAATTGTGATGGCATGTCTTTGGATCATCCTCAGGGATGTTTCATAAAACGTCGCCAATAGCCCATTGTGCAGCTCTAGTGCAATGTAAATGAACTATAACTACAACAATAAATAATAATTTTATGTCATTTTTAAATATAATCATTATTAAGATTTGAATATTAGATATAAATTTATTCATTACCAATTTCTTAATATTGAGTAGATATAATTATAAATAATTTGTATTAATTTTTACTAATTCATCAATATTGTTTCATTAACTCTTTCGCGAAGTTATTTTTTTTTTTTTTTACAACAAAACAATTTTGGTAGCATAAACTATGAATAGGGCACACTAGAATGCTAAAACTAAGATGTTATATTTTTAGGAAGATTTTAAACACTGATTTAGGACCGGGACATATATGTCCCATCAGTCCTGACAACTGGGACATATGTATCCCAATAGTCTTCAATGAGTAGTTTTGTAAAGAAAACCAATGATTTTCTAGTCATAAAAATTTAATTATGAATGGTATGGTTTGAAACAATCAATGAACAATGGGACATTACACATTGTGCACATTATTTTAGTGCATGATTCCTTTCTTTTGTTGTGCACATTTACGGCACCACTGTCGAGTTTTTGTTGTCACCGGCAGATGGTCACCAACATTGAGTAAGCTTCATGATGTTTTGGATGGGCGTCCAGTTCCTCTAAGGCGTTGATACTTCGTCGTTGAGCTTTCAGGGCGCCATCAAGACTTCTGCAAGAAGTACAATGAAATCAAGAAATGAGGTTTTTTTGATGTTTGAGTTCGCAATCCATGAGTTGACCACTGCGCTCATCAATAGGCGAAAAAAAAACTTTTTTCCACTACTTGCAAGATTTTCGATCTACTTCATAGACATTTGCCATTTGGTCTGCAAGGTTTACACCTCCCATGATTTTGTTGTAGAATTAGATTGCCACAGGACACTCAAATTCTTCCTTGCTTCCATCTTTCATGGTGCAATTTACTTTTCCGTATTTAGCTTTGTGGCAATTACTTAGCCTCCTCGCACACATTATTCCATTTTTAGTTACGAAAAACTCAGCCTCACCCCTTTTGCTTAGTTTTGTAGCAAAATTAGGAACATCTTTATGTGTCTTGATGCACGTACAACAGCATGAAATTTCAGGGTTTCCACCAGGTGCACGCTTATTAAAAATCGGTCAAACGCAGGCATCACGTCTTTTCCTCGTATTGTCTACGTTAGCTTTGATACTACCTGTTCTCCGAGTGAGCCTTGAACTTTACCCGTTTCTTTTCGGGAATAAATGTTCATTTCATATACATATCCCGTTTTTGGATCACATCGCTGCCAAACTTTTATCCTTCTTTTCACAGGTTTCATCAGCATATATTGTTCGAGAGATGAACGTCCCTTAAATTTTGCCATTGATTCATCAATAGATTGATATGAGCTTTCACTTTGACACTGTTTGAAGGTTTGTTTCAGGCACGAAACAACCTCGTCAATGTGTTGTGTGTTTCATATGGCTTTATTAGGAATTCAATCCAGAAAATTTGACAGCTCACTGCACCACAAAGCAGCAGAAAAATAACAAAGAAACAATTCAACAATTTAGGTAAAGTAAACAAAAAAGAACAATAAACATTTGAATCAATAAACATTTCAACAATATAAAATTTTAAACATTAACATGGAAAAGGTAAAGTTAGTGACAATTCATGAGAGTTCTTGAGTCCCAATACAATTTAGTGTCATTCCCACTTTTCTGGGAGTTCCTACCTTGTCCCTTGCAAAAATAGCAAAATACCTCTAATATGGACCGAAGATTCCCGCAATGCATTCAGAAACCTCAAGAATGTGCTTTGTCATGCAACTATGCTTGTTCATCCCTCTACTGATGCTAATATATCTCTGACATGCGACGCTTCAGATACAGCCATTGGGGCCGCCATACATTAAATCGAACATAGAGCTTCTTCTCACGCTCCTTAACCGACGTTCAGAAAAAATACAGCGCTTATGACAGGGAACTGTTGTCAATCTACACTGCTATTAAGCATTTTAGACACATTTTGGAAGGAAGGTCTTTCACCATCTACACAGACCACAAATCTATCACCTTCGCTTTTCAGCAAAAGTTGAACAAAGCTTCCCCTAGACAAGCCAGACAATTGAGTTACATCGCTTAATTTTCAACGGATATTCGCTACATCGCTGGAGAAGAGAACATTGTGGCTGATGCTCTCTCTAGAATTAATGCCATCTCCACACCGTCTCCAATCGATTACTCGACTATGGCAGACTTTCAAAACGATGATGATTTAATAATTTTGAAAAACAATCCAAGACTGAAAATGGTTAAAATTTCCATTCCGGAAACCAATAAATCGATTTATTGTGATGTCTCTACACCCGGTAACCATCCATACATTCCCTTAAAATTTCAAAGGCAGATATTTTCCTCTATTCATAGCCTATCACAAACAGGGATTAGGAGCACAAGGAAACTAATCACGAAAAGATTCATATGGCCAAGTATCAATAAAGATTGCCAATTATGGTGCAGGGCATGCGTGGATTGCCAACGATTCGAAGTTCAGAAACATACAAAATCACCTCTGATGAACTTCAAGGTCCCACCCGAACGCTTCCAACAAGTTCACATTGACATTGTTGGCCCCTTGCCAAGGTTTCAGATACTTGCTAACGATGATTGACCATTTTTCAAGACGGATCAATCAGCAGAAACAGTAGCAAAAGGCATGATTTCAACCTGGTTTTCTCGTTTCGGCGTACCACAACGCATTACATCCGATCAAGGACGCCAGTTTGAATGCCAACTCTTCTCATCATTGAGCAGATATTTGGGATTTCAAACCTCTAGGACAACTGCTTACCATCCACAATCGAACTGACTGATTGAGAACTATAACACAGAACTATAAAAGCCAGCCTGAGACAAAACAACAAAATAAAATGCAACAAAATAAATCTTGGGTAGACGCTTTACCTTTTGTTCTTCTCGGATTACGTACGGCGCTAAAAGAAGATATCGGATATTCTTCAGCTGAGCTTCTTTACAGAAGTCCTCTCTGTTTACCTGGAGAATTTGTTACTAAAATCCCTAATGTCACGCACTCAGACTTCGTGCATAGGCTACAAAGTATCATTCGTAGCTTGAAACCTTCTGCAACGACTACTCATGGCACTAAAGCCGAATTCGTTTCAAAACAACTTTTGAATTGCTCGCATGTTTTCATCTACAATAATGCTGCCACTTCATCATTGCAACCGGTTTATCTTGGTCCTTACATTGTCAAGCTCTGAACATCGAAATACATTGATAATTGAAATCAATGGAAAAGTCAAAAGAATTTCAATTGATAGGCTAAAGCCATGCTTTACTATACAGGACAATACCGAGCATTCGCCTGATACTCACAAACCAAGGGTTGACACAGATTAACACCCTCAGTGCGAACCCCCGGAACGGATCTCGTCCTATGACAACCACAAGCAAACCACACGTAGTGGAAGAACCGTCAGGTTTCCACCTCATTTAGAGGATTGTTTCTTAATCGTTTCCACTGGGAAGGGAGTGTGTAGCGTCCTCTATGTTCCCTCTTTAATTTAATTTTCAATCTCTTGTATATATATATATTTGTTTTGTGGTGAATGGCATCATGTTTTTGTTGCTGTTCCAAAAGTGTATAAAATAAAATTGCTAGTGTTATTCTCTTATTCCTGTCGTCATTTATTTTACTATTTGTATTCTTGCTAAGGATTGAAAAATATTGAAGGGAAAATTATTCAGTCTAAAACAACCCTTTAAGAGTATGAGGTGTGACGGTTGCTATTTCTTGAGGCATAGTTGTTCCGTCAATGTAATATGTTTGACTTGCATTTTCTAGCTTTCCTGGTTCAGCAAAATATAGGTTCGACAACATTTTACATCTGGCTCTTGAAACAGCATTTTTTATTGCTACGTTACCCAAAGAAGGATTAGATGATCAACAATGAGAGAATTTCGGCACCTTATTGTAAGACATGACAAGCATGCATCCAAGGGCAAGTATAATTTCAGAGGGGTCGGATGAGTACTGCTATTTGAATGCTGGATCTTGAAAATTGGGATCGTCTATTTCATCATTCAAATCAATATCTTCGTCATCTGACTCTTCTAAAAAAATTTTGATTTCTTCATTAGTAAGTCCCCGGCGTCGAGTCATTTCAGATTGAATTAATTTGTGCCTAAATTAAAGATAATAAGCAACTATTTCAAAAGTAACCGAAAAATATAATATCAAGAGAAATGATCCCATAGGACTGTTGGGACAATGTGTTCCCACTATACAAGAAAAGAGGGACACATATGTCCCGATAATAAAAGAAGAAGTAAAACTTTGCCACTTACCAGTTTATTGGAGGTAATCCGCTTCTTGAGTAACATCTCTGGCCTTAGATTTATAGATCAATCAAAATTTAATCGAAAATAGGCGGTATTTTCCAAAACTAAAATATTTACGTTCGTACAGTAAGGAATGAGCTACTACACCTCAAAAAC